GTGAAAAGAAATGCTAAATGCAAGCATTAGCATGTCTAAAGATGTATGCCCTATACTGTAGTGTTTTAATGCAAATTTAATTGTCACTTGGTAAGCTAGCCAAATTAGGCAAATGACCTTGGCAATAGAATCACCATTGGATATACATTTTATTGTGTCTTATCGTCAGACTGATACTATATATACTATATATATCCAGCCCGTTCTCAACCTAGGGCGTCATATACTGACGCTTTTGACAATGCGTATACATCCAATGCACATGGCACCCTTTAGTGTTAATATGAGACAGATATATATGGGCCAGAAGGCGCCTCCTAGTGGTCTAACCCTAAAGGGCGTCTCACACCGGACGAGAAGCGCAGCGCCACGCCTAGGACAACTCCAGGTATCGCACACCCTGATCGCGCGAGCTCAATTTTGAATCAACTCTTGGTAGAAGAACTGCACGATGTGTGAGTTTTAACTTGATTTATTTTTTTTTATATTGATTAAATAATAGCTGATGTTTGAACGTTAATCAAGTAAAAGTGTCTATCGTTAAATCTGCAAACTTTGTAGTTTTTTCACATGGTTTTGCAACAGGACGCGGCATGCGTCCGATCCATTTCGGCGTCTCGCGCTCTTCATCCACTCAAAGCCAGCTCGCAAGCCGAAACGTGTGTTTGCGCCGTGCCTGTTGTTTTGTTTCCGGTCTAGATCCACTTGCGCTTTGGTCGAAGAAGCAACAAAACGTCCTCGCGCGGCGCAAGCCATTGAAATGAATGGGTATCAGAGCGCAGCACGAGGACGTTTTGTGCCGCACACACTCGTTTCGGCTTGCGAGCCGGCCAAATAGTAACGTTACGTTTTGAGTGGATGACGAGCGCGAGACGCCGAAATGGATGCCCTAAGATTCTGAATGGAAAGTTTACTTTTAAAAAGTTGCCATATTGTCCCATTGACAAGACCAAAGTGATCTGTGTTTTGTCGTTGTGAATTGAGCGATAATCATCGCAGTACGTCCACGTACATTGTGTGAGAGATTATTTGTATATGTTAGTGTGAAATTGAACACTATTCCAATGTTATTTTCAATAATAATAATAAAAGCATTTGCACTAAACAAGCCAATCCACTTTTCCATATTGATAAGAGCATTAAAATGAGAAAAAAAATAATGTAACAAAAAGTAATCAAGAGACATTTAGAATAGATAAAAATGTGCGATTAATCGCGAGTTAACTATGACATTATTAATGCGATTAATCGCGATTAAATATTTTAATATTTTGACAGCACTAATATATATATATATATATATATATATATACAGTATATATATATATATATATATATATATAGTGTGTGTGTGTGTGTGTATATATTAGTGCTGTCAAACGATTAAATTTGGCCGGTTTGCAAGCCCAACCGAGTGTGTGCGGCGTGCCTGTTGTTTTGTTTCCGATCTAGCTAGATCCACTTGCGCTTTTGGTCGACGAAGCAACAAAACGTTCTTGCGCGGTGCAACATTGAAATGAATGGGTTTCCTACATAGACTGTAAATATATATATATATGTTCGCTCCAACTGATTTGCTGAAATCAGAACAGGAACTGTGTTCTGCCAATTTTTGCTGCCTTGTCGAAAAATGCTACCGTAGGGCGAATTGATCACAGAATGCCGATTAAAGTCGTATGAAATACAATTATAATACAATTCTAAGTTATGAGTAGCTACTGTATACTGTAGACTACTGTTTTTATTTTTAAAACGATGTGAAAAGTAAAAATTATCATAAAATATTCATCTTTGACTTGTCAAAGCACCTTTCCTCATAGTAACTGAAACTTTCAGTTATTCCTTTTCAGCTGGCTGACCGTACAAATATTCATATGATAGTAAGCATTTTTTAAAGGGAAATTATACATTATAACAGGAAAATGTACCTTTTGTAAAAAAAAAAAAAAAAAAAAAAAAAAACGGAGTCTGCACATGCGCATAACCGGTAAGTAGCAAATCTCGATGGGTAGCATGAATTGTCAGAACACCGGTAATAGAGGAGCGCCAACCAATGAGATTGCAATTTGCGCATTAGTTCTGCCCACTACCGAAGAAACCAACACCTTCACACTAGAGTGTATGGTCAAATACAGGAGCTGTACTGAAATAATACAGAATCTACAGATTGCATGATGGAAAGAAAAAAACTCCCAAGTGCTAAATCAGTGTTCAGCGAGTGAAACTATCTATGCTAAACTATATTTAGCATCTAACATACACCCTGGCGAGTCAAATCTTAGAATTTATTAGCCAATGCAAATGATAGACATTATTTAGTCGCTCAGAGTGCACTCAAATAAACGCAAGCTCAACCGTACATGTTTGATGCATAAGAACAAATCTCACGGTTCTTGCGGAAACTCAACATACACGTTTACCAAATGTAAGTGCTCTGTGTTGTTAATTCGCTGATCAATGTTTATATGCAGATAAAAGCCTGAATTAAATCACATGTAAAGCGATCGTGTCTCTTTTGAAGACTTGGATAAACCGCTTGTTCCAGATATGGATTGCTTTTATGTTGTCTTAATGAATGTTTTGAAACATCAGAGGTTTATGCGAATAGACTTTCAATAGAGGGACAGTGAAATCTCAGACTTCAATAAAAATATCTTCATCTGTATTCCGAAGATAATTGAAAGTCTAATGGTTTTGGAATGACATGATGGTGAGTAATTGATGACAGAGTGTTCATGTTTGGGTGACCTATCCCTTTAATGTGCTTTCTAGGTAGGTAGCTCCTTAGTGCCATTGTCTCACGCTCTGATGTATGGAGCTGCATGAGGCACAACATCACACAGCGGTGTTGTTTATCTATGTTCCCATTACAAATTGAGAGCCCTATACTTTCCAGTTGTCTGGAGCTGTACACTGATATGTGTCAAAAGATGGAAAACAACTCCTACTCACCCTGCCATCTAAGAAATGTGTGGTGCATCCAAACCTTTTAGCTTTTCTTGATGTGAAGAGAGGCTTTCAAAATAGATGTCGCAACCATGGACCCCCACCCACATATTAATGAGCATGTCGAAATGGACAAGCACATTAGGTCTAAAGCCTGCAGAGAGCCAATGGGCTGAGGAAAAACAAAACAGCCACAGTTACTGCTCACTAGCCAAGCCATGTCAAGGACAACACATTTGTTTTGGCCGTCTTCCGTGTTTGGTTCCAGCTCGGTGGCTGAAGAGAAGTCCACTACTCAGGCAGTTGGCTGTGTAATACATTTAAAAAATGGCGTCCGGCCGTGCTTCAGCAAGCGTTGAGCTGTTTGTCTGGAGGGGGCTGATGTGACATACTGATGAATATTTTAATCTATACTCTTAGAAGAAAAGGTTCTATATAGAACCTTAAAAGGTTCTAAAGCGCTACCTATTTGGAACCCCTAAAATACTAAAAAGCTGAATGGATACTCCACTCTTTTTGGGAAATAGGTAGGGCTGGGGTAAACGATTATTAACTAAACGATTAGTTGGGCGATTATTTTATTGATTAGTCGACTAATCTAATGACTAATTGGACGACTAATATAAAGAATATTTTTTCTGCTGCTCAATTAATAAAAAAACAATATCTCAAATAAATACTAGCATACTGAATCAAGATACTATAAGCTGGCTAACGTTAGTCTAATGTTATGTATTTGAACACCATCATAACTCTACAACCGCCAAAACCGTGTTATTAAAATATTTTTCACAAACATTTTTTATCATAGAGAATGTTTAAATATTAATATCAGCTGAGGAGGGAAACGGAGGCGGAGGCGGAGTTCACCTACTGATCAGAGCGCGTGCTGACACGGAGTTAAAGCCTGGTTTATACCCGACACGTCCGCACGAGCGCGAATGTGCGCACGGCAAAAATGACCCGTTGGGTGCGCAAGACCAGGAAGACTGTGGCTGGCAGTGTGTATGCCTTTTTTTTGTAACAACGCGCCCGGCGCCGCGTCCGGGAACGACTTCAAGCCGAATCTGCCCGAGCTTGTACGTCTCACCACACCGGCACCCAGTTTGCGCGTCTAAATTGCAAAATTTTTTTTCTTAAGGGTTTGTTTACTGTGTGTGATTCATTTAATGGATAGCACATTCACTTCTAGTTGTCTTCGTCCTCTATTCTGCAATGTTTCGGTCTCCCACGTGTGTGTGGCAAGCTGTACCGCCGGGAACATGCAAAAAATAAATAAATAAAGAAGCGCAGACGTAAAAATATGACGTCCACGCGCCGCTACAGAGTTAAACTGTTGAGTTTGTCCGTTTTCGAATCCATTCAGCCGATCTCCGGTTCTGGCGGTAACTCTTTTAGCATAGCTTAGCATACATCATTGAAGTGGACAAGACCATTAGCATTTCTCAAAAAAAAAAAAAAAAGACCAAATAGTTTCGATATTTTTCCTATTTAAAACTTGACTCTTCTGTAGTTACATTGTGCACTAAGACCGACTGAAAACGTAAAGTTGCGATTTTCTAGCCTGATATGGTTAGGAACTATACTCTCGTTCCTGCGTAATTATCAAGACACTTTACTGCCGTACCATGAGTGCAGCGGGCTAAATGATTTGACGCAGTGCCTGAAAATAGTCCCCACCTCAGTATTATTAGCCTATTTTCAGACACTGCCTCATATCATTATGACTGATCTCATGAAATGGCGTATGTATGACACGCCAATTCGAATATCCATTTTTGCCGTGCTATCAACATGCATAATCGCTTTTCAGCGTGTTTATGAACGTTACATTATATAAATATATGACCTACCCCAACCCCGTCCCTAAATCTACCCATCGCTGGGGTTAATACCATTTATGAGTCTTCCCCTACCATCCTAGGAAAAAAATATCACTCCCCAGATTTAGATCTACATTTTGCTTCGTTCCGCTCGGACTTTTAACGACGTGTACATAGCTACATGCGGAATCACTCGGACATTTAACGAAAAAGATGATGGTTCGTTTAGGTGTGGATAGCTCAAAATGCGTATAGATAACACGCCACTTGACTTAAAAGTGGCGTGTATGTTAACGCAAAAGTCAAAAGTTGGCTAAAAGAAGCAATATTTCTCAATTTTTAAGAACCTGACAGTTCAACGGTTTACAAAATAGTGTAGCTTTTCCAAGAAGAAGCTTTTAACCTCAAAGGTAGAGATGTGGCATGACAAAACACTACATTGCTTGGCTTTGTATCTCATGTTGTGGATCCCGGGAGAAATCGGCGGTAATAATCAAACACGCTCTTCTAGAAGATCCTCTCTGTTCCAGGAAGCATTGGGAAGTCTCATTCATTTAGTGAATGGGTTTATTCAATTAAATGTATTTACGTAATTCGTTTAGAGTCAACTGCTACCCACATCCCCCTGCCTATAAATAATATAATATTTAGAAATGCATACATTTAGTTAAAACACTGATGTTAATATATTTTTTAGTTGTATATTTATTATTTTGGGATTTATTTAGTGTTGATTATGTGTTTGAGGTTGAGGCAGCCGTGCAAATTGAGATCGTCAGGAAAATACAATCAGTTGTAATATAATTAAAAAGATGTTTCTCCTTAAATAGCTTTTAATCTAGTTAGACACTTTATGTTAGTAGCTGTTAGTGAATCGAAATGCTTTTTTAAAAGAGTTGCTTGACTGCAGCTTAACTACTTGCATTATGAGAAGCTTGTTAGCTATTTTCCTAAAGATGGCTCTTGGGATTTGTGATATAAATAAGACGGGTGAACAATTTAAGGAAAATCCATCCTGCAAATCAATACTAAGTTGTTCTGAGAGATCACTTTCATTCTTTAATTCTATGATGCTCCTCTGGTGGCCCAACACTTGTCTAAGATGCTTTATGTTTTATAGCATCTGTTTTAAACCTGTATGTGTTTCTCTAGAATGACAAGGGCCAGTGTCCGGCTGATGTTGTTCCAGACCCTGTAGATATGCCTGTGGAAATGGCTGACGCCTCAGTCCAGGTTAAAGAGCTGCGCACTCTGCTCCGGGACGTCCTGCCCAGACCCGACTCTCCCCTCACTCTCCTTCTCCCTCTCCTGCCTGCCAGACCTCCAGGTGTCCTCTCGGACAAAGCTCGTGCCCAGCTTTCAAGTATGGGCCTTCACCTTGGAGACAAAGTGGTCATCGCTGGTCAAAAGGTACTGCATAAGTTCTGGATTTCTGTGAGCGTGTAATGAGCACTGCTGTTCAGGAGCAAACATATTTTATTTATATGTATATGTAATATAGTGGCCTCAAAAAGCATTTGGAAACATTTGGACATTTATCTCATAAAGTCCACAGAAAACATGGAAACCCAATCTGTTTGTGTGTGTATGTACACTACCGGTCAAACGGTAAGATTTTTTGTTTTTAAATGTCTCTTCTGCTCACCAAGGCTGCAATTATTTGATTAAAAATGCACAAAAAAACAGTAATATTGTGAAATATTGTTACAATTTAAAACAGCGGTTTTCTATGTGAATATATAGTGAAGTGTAATTTATTCCTGTGATCAAAGCTGAATTTACAGCATCATTACTCCAGTCTTCAATGATCCTACAGAAATTATTATAATATGATGCTCAAGAAACATTTATGACTATTATCCATGTTGAAAACAGTTTTTTTTTTACTTTTTTATTTCAGGATTCTTTGATGAATAGAAAGTTCAAAAGAACAGAATTGATCTGAGATGGAAAGCTTTTGTAACATTAATCACTACCATTCAAAAGTTTGGGGTCAGTAAAAATTAATTTTTTATTTTTGGGGGAAAGAAAAATTTGAAAAGATTTTATTCATCAAGGATGAGTTAAATTGATCAAAAGTTACAGTAAAGACATTTATAATGTTAGAAAAGATTATGTTTTAAATCAATGCTGTTCTTTTGAACTTTCTATTCATCATAGAATTTGGGGGGGAAATGGTACACGACTGTTTTCGACATTGAAAATAATAATTTATGTTTTTTGAGCATAAAATCAGCATATTAGAATGATTTCTGAAGGATCATGTGACACTGAAAACTGATGTGTAATCAGCAACAGTAATGTTGACATTTTAAAATATATTAAAATAGAAAACAGTCATTTTAAATTGTCATAATATTTCACAATATTACTGTTTGTCTTTTTTTTCATCAAATAAAGCAGCCTTGGTGAGCACAAGAGACTTCATTCTCACTGATCTAAAACTTTTGACCGGTAGTGTATGTTGGGAGAACATGTACATCTGTCTGCTTCAAAAATGAAGGAAATGTGTGTACTTCCTGGTCCTCACATATAATATAAGGACAGGGGTTACGGATGCTAGTGTTCGAACATAACAGGTTTGCTGTGATTGATATTGATCGAAGCCGTTGAGAAATCAGATTTAATAGAAACAGGCGCACACCCCCACACATGTTCCACAAAATGAGAGTTGTCAGAAAGAAATCACTTCATGCACTGCTCCTAGCAAAGAACTAAAATGTCAGTGAATAGTATCCTAAAGCTGCCACCCAATCAAATCTGTCCTACATGCCCACCAGTAATGAGCAGGGAATCAGCTGGGGCTCTCAAACCCATTTGCAGTGGGTAAGGATAATGGCGGGAGTGAAGAGACTAGAGTGCATGCTCTGCTTTCTCCGTGCAGAAATATTTCTTTTACATGTTTTTGTAGTTTTTTGACCTGCTCTCGCACTCGCATACCTAGACAACAATTTATCCATTAATAAAATCCTCCACCGCATTGGGACTAAAGTAAGCAGAGTGCCGGGAATCTACAGATTGGCTAATCAAAACCCCATTATCTTCAGGGATCCTTGGCGCCGCTGGCTTTCTTTGATCCCCATTTTACTTTTAACATTATTTTGTTTCCAAACTAATTTGCCTGTTTATGAATGTCGGCGCATACAAAAACAAGGACGGCCTGTCGACTGAGCCTAAATATGTGCTGCTCTGTGTGGATGCACTTGTTTGTTTCTGGAGTAAAGAAGTAATCACTTTCCATTGCCCTCCGGAGTACAGAGCGAGATAAAGAGAGCATGAAACGGGTTTATTGAACATGTATTATCACCTCGGCAGCCCACGCGGCCGGAAAACTATTACTCACACTGTCCCCCCTCTGTTTCCTACTGTTTCTGCAGGATGCTCTCGTGGTCCCAGGATTAAATGCTTTACGGAAATGTGTAAATCTTAGTTTAATCTACCCTCTGGTTTGTTTTGGAAGGTCGGGACTCTGCGGTTTTGCGGTAGTACCGAGTTTGCTGGGGGTCTTTGGGCAGGGGTGGAGCTTCACCAACCAGTGGGCAAGAATGATGGATCGGTAGCTGGCGTCCAGTACTTCACCTGCCCAATTAAACATGGTAAGAGTTTAAATGTGCATGCTTTTCTCTTATTATAGTTCCTTGCAAAAGGTTATGTTAAATCATTTGCTAACTAGTGTAATGCTAACATTACATTACAACAAGCTAGCCAGGTATAACACAATTAGGATGAGTCATGTCTGTTCCATGTTACTCAGAATTTTTTGTCTTAACCAGCTAACCAGACTGTGACAAATGTGATACCGTGAACCCAGCTCGATAACTATTAAACATAATGTTTACTAACTAGCTTACCAGGTGAAACGTGATAAAAGGTCAAGCAATAAATCATGTCTTTTTGAGTTTTTGTCTAAGCCAGCAATTGTGATAAGTGAGGTATGACGATATTTGAGCATAAATAGTAGGTTTACAAACTAGTTAATGACAAGTCCGATTCGCGAACTAATGACTCCTTTGAACCGATTCACTTTAATGAATGGTTAAAACAACTGATCTGTCCAACACTGAACTCAAGAGACATAAATCGGAAACACTTTACAAATAAGGTTCCATTTATTAAATTCTAGTTAACTACATTAGTTAACATTCTATTAATATTTGTTTCTATGTGGATTTACTCCATATCAAAACCACCCGAGTCATTCTAGAATGATTCATTCTTTCCAAACAAAGCTATTCAAGGTAGGGCTGTCAATCTTCCTCTACAATACTATTCAAATTCAATTCCTTGTTTTATTTAATATTCAAATATTATTCAAATATTAAATGCTAAAATTTATCTTATAATTAATATTTACGACATTGCACATGCTTATGGATCGCCAATGCCACTATGTGGTTGTTGTTACACGTTCAGTCCACTAGAGGGACATCAAATACACATTTTCTTCATGCTGACTATGGTTGAAGCGCTTCTGATGGTTTTCGGCTGATATCTCCACGAAAACACCACCAAAAATTCCGAAACTCTTATCGTTCTTTTTAGTTTGACTAGACGGTTCCAACAAGCTCGATGCGCACCGAATCCGTTGAGATATTTGCGCTTTTCGCTTCACATGTGCTTTGGGGGGCGCTTTTTTACGTTGTTAAACATTTTTGACAGTTGTTATGATTATACACCATGGATAACGTGCCCACTTGTGTTACGATTCAAAAACTTTATTGTTCATCAGACGAAACAAAGGCATTTCGTTTTCAAATGCGTGTAAGCCAAGGCGGCGAAAAGGCAAGATTGCATATAAAAGACAATTTTTTAAAATATACATGATAAGCAATATTCGAACAGTAACTTCAGCATCCGAATAGTATTGATTTTTTTTTTTTTTTTTTTTATATATTCAAATTATATTCAAATTTCGGAATTCGTTCCAACAGGCCTAATTCAAGTCATCTGGTGAAATTATTTTTGGAGAAAAATAAAATATCGCAATGTCATTTTTTGCCAATATCGTGCAGCCCTAATCCTCGCTATGTGTTTTCTATACATCGGTAAATATTGGTATCGGCTATAACAGCAATATTAATATCGGTTATCGGTATCGGCCACAATTTTCACATCAGTGCATCACTAGGTCACATGCTTGACACAATCATGTATTGTTATATACAATGATAGGTTCTCTAAAAATGTTACAATGATCCTTAAATCCTTGCATTGTGTTTTTTATTCATGTGGCACATGTTCGGACAAAAGTTTGCCATAATTACGATATTGGCACGCATTGCTTTTTCACATTATTTCACACAAATTTTATAGAATCTTCACATATGTATCACAATTAGCCCAATGTGGATGATCATATCATAAGGTCATTGGTGATACCCAACCCCTTATTTTCATTTTTTTTATCAGCTGGGCATTTGTCATTGGCAGTTTTCATGTTTTTCAATTCTTTATCCGCTTACAATTCAGGTCTTGCTTTCTTATCTGTCCTCAGTTGCTAACAAAATGATTTCTCTCTGACACTCTCCAGGCATCTTCGCCCCCCTCTCCAAACTCAGCAAACTCTCGGAACGACGTAAAAACAGTCCCCGCCAGCCCTCCGCTCCCATCCCCCACCCTAGACGAATTGACTTGGCGCGGGTCACGTCCAAGGTCAACACAGGTACATTTCTCACTGACCCGGTTGCTTAATGACCCTCTTTACAGCTCACAAACCCAATATCAGGAGGAACCCAGTGGCCACCACAGACACAAAGCTAATTACCATCCCAGAGGACCCGCTTGATAAATAAACTTACACAAGCGTGAACAGCGATAGTGGTGATAAAGCTGTTGGTGTTACCGCTTTATTCTGTCCCCTTCGGGGTTGTAGAGACAATAAAAAGCCATGTGAGCTCTGAAGAAATGGAGCAATCATTGAGGGAGCTAACGTCACTTGTGCGCCATTACAGCGTTCACCCTAGGGGCCGTTTACACAGACGTGACACCCACCAATGTGTGGAGTGAATCACTCTAACATGCATAAACTCTCTTTTTTGTCACTTATGCACATGAAAGAGGACAAATGACTCATTTAAACTCCTCCATTATCATCCATGACAGACAAGCCTCAGAGGGATTTTCTACAAGGGAAGTTGACATTTTGAAAATTGGACATGTTCTGTAGTGAAATGCTACACTTGCTCCTCTAAAACTATTTTAGCATTAGCTCATTTTGTTTTAGACCTTACATTAATTCAATAACTACATGGAATATTTATACTAAAAAAAAAAAAAAAAAAAAACTAGCGCTGTGACATTCTGTAGGGGAAACGTGCAGATCATTGTATTATTCACTCAACCAATTTGTTCAAAAATATTTATACATCCAGTTACCAAATACCACTTTTTTTGTTAGCAGACTAATTGACAATATTGCCTAAAGTTACACAATATTTAATTTCCTTTCAATTTAACTTTTTTTCTAAAAATCTAAATTGTGGTCCTGCTTGGCTGTTGTTATCTAAAAGTCATGCTGATCTCTTGCTGACATGATGCTACTTAACTATTCATCATGAGTATTATTATTTTCATATAACCATAGTCTGGCCTACACTACAGGACCATACAAATTGTGAAAAAGCTTATTTAATCATGACCAGTTGTAGGACCTGTATCTCTAAGTCTAAAATTGTGATCAGTGTTGGGTAAGTTACTCTAAAAAAGTCATTAATTACTAGTTACTAATTACCTCTTGAACAGTGTAATTAGATTACTGTACTAATTACTCTCTCTAAAAAGTATTTAATTACGTTTAATTACTAATTACTTTCAAAATCCCATATCAATCTCAACCAGCTGAATAATACAAGGATAGACATGAATCTGTTTTAATTCTTTCAAAAAAATACTATAAATATTGCATGAATTATCCTTAAACTGACCAAGGTGGAGAAGTTTACATTATAAAAACATAGGCTACTTTTTAGCATCAGACAATACATTTTGATGTTAAACCCACTATTGTTTTATGTCTGATCTCATGACATTTTTTTTATACATATTTTACAATAATTCATACAAATTTGTACGAGTGCGGTCATACAATTTAGACACCTCATAAAATGCATATGAATCGCTATGAGATCGGATTGATCTATACACAGTATTTACCTCAATTACATCAAAAGTAACTGTAATTAAATTACAGATAAATGAAGAGTAATCGCTTACTTTACATTTTCAAGGGAAAAGTAATTCAATTACAGTAACTAATTACTAATTACAACACTGATTGTGATGTTGATGGGAAAAAAAAAAATTATTCAGCCGATGTTTTTGATATTTAGAAGAATATCAGTAACCAGACAGTTTCTGCTCTCATTGACTTCTATAGTATATATTTTTTTTCCTACTATGGAAGTCAATGAGACCAGAAACTGTCTGGTTACTGATATTCTTCTAAATATCAAAAAATCATCTGAATACATTCGAAAACGGTAAAACTCGACTGTTTAACTCTGGGGGAGTGTTAAAATGAGCCTATTTCCAAAAAAAAAGTGGAGTATCCCTTTAACATAACACACCCAAATATGCTGTACGCTGCCGAGACTGCCGACACGTTATCATAATATAAGTCTGCAGAGAGCGATAGTGTTCCCACACAGGCTTCCATTAGTGCACTCTCATCACCTCCTCTGTTACACTAGAGACTTGCCCTTGCTCGTCTGTGTTTTGGGGGATCTTTACTCCAGATTGGTGTACATTTGTTGATCTGTTTTCCTAGACAAGCATTTCCACGGTCTTCCTCCAGGGCTCAGGTATTGTCCACTCAGACAGCTAAATGCAGACATATGGATCTCAATAGCTTTGTGTGGCAAAAGCACTTTTATGAAAAGCCCTTAAGGCATTGCGTTACGAAAAATGCCTTTTCTGCTCCCTCTCATACTTTTTTTTTTATTTGATTTGTTTTTTTTTTTCTCTGTCTGTCTGTACTTTTAGTGGTTCATAAGAATTTAGTGGCAAAGTTTGTGTAATTCTCATAAAAACTATTCAAAATCAAATCATAATGTCTTAATGTTAATATTATTGTCATTATTAAATTTATAATGTTGTCTTAAGCAGCTGTGCTTACTCGTTTATCAAAATGAACGAATCTTTTTCAAAGTCAATTTGTTCGTTTTGTTCGTTGAACGAACCAAATGACTCGGAAAAAGAGTTGTTCATTTTGATAAACGAATTCGAACCGGAGGGTCACGAATGCACATCACAGAACAAAGCAAGGCGACCAATTGAGCTTATAAAACTTAAACTTTGTTATTTTTTTATTAAATGAGTGATCGTTTCGCTTGATAAGACCCTTATTCATCGTCTGGAATCGTTTAAAGCCCTTTGAACAGTTTGCAGTTTGCACTGAAACTGTCTTTTGGACCCTGAACCGTTTGGTTCCCATTGAAGTCCATTATATGGAGAAAAATCCTCGAATGTTTTCATCAAAAACCTTAATTTGTTTTCGACTGAAGAAAGAATGACATGGACATCTTGGATGACATGGGAGTGAGTAAATTATCAGCAAAAGTTTTTTTTCAAAAGTGAACTAATCCTTTAAAACTTGAACTAGCAAGTGACATTTGTTTTTATGCTTTAGTTTTAGCTAACTATAGTAGTCAGTTAATTATCCATTTTATTTATTGCTTTTATTATTATTACTTTTGAAGGGAGAGACCCAGACCCATTTTTACATATTTGTGAATAATTAATCCCTCTTTGTAATGAATTCGTGGACTTCAATTCAGTCACATCTTTTCAAAGAGGCACAATAATATTTCACCCATTCACCCACTGTTTTTATGTTCTTAAACGTCTTTGTCATGTTCCTCTATATCTGGTTTGAGGACTCAGTGTTGAGTCACGCTGTCTGCATTAAAACTAATGCGCACATCCAAGGACGGACACCGAAGCCATGCTTTCTTGAGCACTTGTGAGTCACTTGTAGGCCGACTTCAACTATGACGCACATTCAAACACATGATTACCAAAAAGCCTCCGCATGCCGTCTTACACCTCCAACGTGCTCACAATAACCATATCCAAGCAATGCGTTGTGTTTATAATGACTCTTTAATGATGTCACTGGCCAAAGCTGAAGAAACCACAGCTCCATGGTGTCCTCTAATTAGAGCCGTTTCAAGGTGTTTTTTCCTCTCTTTTTTATTCCCGAGGTGATTTGAATAGTGGACCTTGGTGTATTTCTGTGTTCCCTGTTGATTGATTGTCCAATGAAGCCAAGCTTAATGAGCAGTCCTCACTTCGGTCTGAACAAACAGGCAGTAATTTGTCATGGAAAGGAACGGGGGATAGAAGTGGTGTGTTTGTTACTGCTCTAACCCTTTATATTGTATCTGGTTGTGCAACAATCTCAATTTTCTTTTGAAGTAAACTTGATATTTGGCGAACGATCGTTTATAGGGGTCAAAAAATCATTCGTAAAATATTACACTGTTAATAAATGCACATGGAAATATGTTGGTTGAAAACGTGATTAATTAGGTTCACCCAAAAATGGAATCAGTCCAATGTATTTTATTTTTGCAAAAAAAATAGAAACCTAGCTCGCATTAAAGTCTCTAAAAGTTCAGCCACATAATTTGCAAACTGAGAAAACTTTTTTTATATTTGATTTGAAATGATGTTTTGTTGATTTTAGTATGATAAAAGGCTATTTCTTTGAGAAATGTGATCCATAAAGACAGATGATGAGCCTAGCGCGGGTTTAATGGTTTTGCTTTAGGGTGGGCCATAAATGTTTTGGGTGGGCTGCATAAGAATGACTTTCATAAAATGCGGCATGAATGTTTTACTCTCATTTTTAGCATCTTTAAAACACTCACGTACTACATTTAAATGGACTGAACCAGATTTCATGGACTAATTCATTTGCATTTTGCTACTTGTGGTTCTTTAGTGTTTATTTCGTTCAGCACATCACAATGCACAATTTATGCAGGCTTTATGTTTTAATGGTGCCGAAATGGCTTGTCCTCAAGATTCAGCTTGCCAAAGTTAATTAGGACTTTTCAATGGAAAATTCTATTTAATTGACATAGCATATGGATTGTTGAGAATAAATATGTTCTAAATTTATTCCTGCGAGTCTGAGAACGTATTGGGAACTAAAAGTGTTTGACTGTCTGCATGAATAATGTTCCCAAACATTATCTCTGAATACTTTTATACTTTTCATATCCATCTCTAGTGTTGCAGTCTCAGTTGTTTTTAAAGAAGTTTTTAAAGCAGTCAAGACATAGATTAATAAATAGAACAAACTTCTATATAAGCATAACTGGTAACACTTTACTTGAAGGGGTGTGCATAAGACTGGCATGACACCTTCATAACCATGACATACATATGTCTTGAATATGAAGAAAGGTTTATGCATGTTTGTGACAACTGTCATTAAGTGTCATTCGCTCAATAATGACATTTTGAATGCAAATATGACACTGTTTAAGATGTCTTTGTTATGACACCTTCACATAAATCATAACCTGTCAGTGTCTTTGTCATGACAACTTGACATTAAATGAAGTTAAAATGTCATGTGGTTGGCTTTGACATTAGCTGTCATGAGGCCATTATAGCTGTGTCATGGATATTTTTCGTGACCTCAACTACAGTGGTACTAATTGAATTTCTCATTAAAAAGTTATAATGGCATCATCATGACTGCCAATGTCAAAACCAACCACCTGACAGTTTAATGTAATGTTAACCAATGAAGCTAGGTGGTTTCTTAAGTTTGATAATTGTCATGTTAAAGACAGGTGGTGTTGTCTTAGTAATGTCAAGTTGTCATGACAAAGATACTGACAGGTTATGACGTATTGGTTTATGTCAAGGTGTCATAACAAAGACATCTCAAACAATGTCATATTTGCATTAAAATGTCATAACTGAGCGAATGACACTTGACAGTCGTCACAAACATGCATAAAACTTCCTTCATATCCATAACATATGTCATGTCATGATTATGAAGGTGTCATGTTAGTCTTATGCATAACCCTTCAAGTAAAGTGTTACTGAATAATTTTTTTTATGTAGTGTTTTTGTAATATTGTTTAAATATTAATTGGTGGAGGAATTGTTAATTGTGATTATTATTATGTTTAACTGGCATTTCTCATAATTCATATTGTTTTTGCCGTTTTAGATTTTTTTAATGTATTTAATTAAATACATTTAATTGATTTTAAAAATATGTTTTGTTTTTAGATACTCCACTTTATGAAATCTCCTTAACCGTGTTAAAGTCACTGTGAACACACACTATATTTACTTTAATATCGTACCTGTAGATCACCAGCAAGACCTCTAGTGTAGCCAAGTACAGATTCAACATGATCTACAGTGTGTGCTCTGCTTTATTAATAGCTGTCTGTTTATGCAATATTATTCCAGAGTTAATATTGAACTGTTTAGTCTTAATAATGTTTGCAAAGGTCAGGGATGACACCATCTTGGTTGTTTTGGTGTTCTCACTGTGCATATATTAGCATTTTAAGGGGGTCCTTGGGGAGTGTGTGTCGTAACACTCCAGTGGATGTGACTTCTTTGAGCGGGCCTTGTGTACGGCACTAATGATTCTGATGCTTTTGTTTTTGTGCTGTTGAACATGATGTACATTCCCCGTTTTACATGCTTCATACGATTCGGAGCAACTGTGACCTCGAAATTCAAAAAGTATTTGTGTATACTTTCTCAAAATGTAATTGCACAAGCTAAGACTATATCAAGTAGCATCTGCAAACAGACATATTTCTCAATTACTTTTTGCCTTACTCTATCTATAGATGAAGTTCATGACATTAAAGTTGCATTAAGAGATTTCCGAGAAACACTGTTGATATTTGAAATCAGCCCAAACAAACACAGCTCCGCCCCTAAAATGCACAAACACACAATGCAAGAGTGAATGTCTCTATCATTGCTGAAACCAAGCAAAATAATGATTTATGAAAAATGAATTGAAGGTGTTGGAAAGCTTTTTTGTAATATTAATGCTGGTCCTAAAGCTCTTGCCTGATCATAACCCTTCTTTTTCCTGTGATATTCATCTGAGCTTTTCTTTTTGGTAATGTCTCTCAGCCATCTCTCTTTCTACAGTCCTCCTTCAAATCTCACTCTCTCTCCTCCCCCATCATGAGTGGACACGCCCCCTAGTGCTGATTGGCTACAAGCCAATAGATCACCTCCATAGAGGGTGATCTCACTCACAGAATGAACACATAGTGTCGGCCATCTTGATTTGGAAGCTAAGCTAGTAGGCTTTTGTTCTGTGGAGAAAGCTGAGTAGTCGGGGTTACCATCCTCTTTTTCCTGAACATGTCCGGCCGTCGATGTCCGGGATTCAGCTTTTGCTTTCTGCAGTCGCCATTCATTGTTTAAAAGCACAGATTTTGTTTCAATCTAACTGAATTCATTGCGATTGGTGAATCTGAATGTAGTGTTTACATGAACGCTAAACAAGTGATCGGTTGATGTGCGTTTTAACATTGCTAAGAAAATTCCCGCTCCTCCATGAGAGATACGAGACCGGTGCGTCTCACAGGTGTCGCTCATCGGTAATAACGCCACCGGCCTCGCGACATTTTCCTCACTCGTCCCACTCGCCACGGTAAACATGATGAATGGCGACTGTAGAACGCAAAAGCCCAATCCCGGACATTTTGGGCGATCTCGAAACACATTTTCGGGCAGACTCATCATGGAGACTCACTAGTAGCCTAGACTTTTAACTACTGCGCTCTGTTACCGGTAGGCGTGGCCTCCTAGGGCAGCGAAGCAAGTGCATTCTGGGAGTTGTTGTCTTTCATCCACATAAGCCAAAAACACATTTTCTGTCTTTTCTCAGTCTAGAAAGCTCCAAATTCAAAAATAATTTCACATTTCTTCTACATAAATGACCCATTTTAAATTCACATTCATCTTTCCAGAGGTGAAGTATCCCTTTAACTATGGACTGCTGGGTTTGTTAATGTTTGACAACCCGAAAAAGGAGCGAAGACTTTTTGTCATTTTCAACACTATGTTGCTTCATGCTCTCCAAGAGCAGTAAAAAGATGATGTCCTTCAATTTGAATTCTTTCTACATTCCTCCAACACCACTGCCATTTTCTAAATGAGTGTGGTCCAACACTTTGGGTTTAGATATCTTTTTTGGACTTTTAACACCAGACTGTAAATTCCAAACGTCTTGGCTATCACTTATCATTTAGCTTCCAAACTTGTTTCATTAATGAACTCTTTAGCCCATGAAGGTCTGTGAATATGATGGCTTAATGAGAGACCTCATTTCAAACTGCTTTCCAAGAGCTGGAAGGTTAAAGCTGCTTCTCTCATGTGGCCTATTTCTTGGTCATTTAAGTGCAGTAGATAAAGTTTGTAGGTCTTGTTAGATGTCTGCAGAGCTGTGCCAAGGCTTGGGCACTTTTCCATGGTTCCATAAGATTAACATTTGGCTGGAACTCAGACAGCCTTCAAAGACTACATTTAAAAGGGCTGGAATGCTTAAATAATTAAACAAAGGGACTTTGATAAATGTCGGTTTCTGGTATGTTATTGGTAATTTGGAGTCTTATAAGAATTTACTGAAAGTGCAACAAATATGAACAAACCTCTTACCCTACAGTATGTATTAAACTTTGGCATGAATCTCGTCCTGCACCGTTTGAGCCGTGGCCATGGATTAAATCAAACTCAAATCAAGTTACTGCTCGTTGAGGAGATGATATGTTTCAAAGCCACAGGCTCATGATTTTCTTCTAGCAGATGATAAATAGAAGACCAAACGCATATGCTTGCATTGGAATATGGATCCGAGCCATACCTAGAGATTATATCATATATCATTGTTATATCCAATCAGCCATATCATAGCTATCTTTGAATTATTATTATTATTATTATTATATATCTGTAGACCAACGAGGTAATGATTTTGCCAAAAATTCTGACTGAACGTAGTGTTATTTTGGCCACTTTTCCTATAATGTTGGAAATAGAATATCACTGTTATTTTTCAAGGAACGTTTGAAGTTTTGTCATTCAGCCAAAAATAAATGGTTTGAAATTCACCCTGTCAACTTGGAAGCAAATTGTTTAGCAGCATTCTCATAACATGTCACTTGACCTTTAGATGTTGCCAGGCCTCAATTTCTGTCAGATACTTGCCTGTTCAGTTTTTATATCCATTTTTCTGTGAATAAAAGGGCTTTACTCACCTGTTTTTTCGTGCTAATTATTTAGTACGATAATCAGTGGTTAATTACTTAATTTGTTTGACCACTTAAATGGCATTCATAAACCTTAGTTGGATTAAATCTAGTGTTAATTCATGCTTCTGCAAATATGAATGGCAGCTTAATGAACATTTAACATTTGTCTAATCAAGGGGCATTCATATTGACAGCAATATGCGGTGTCAAAGGGGCCAAAAGTCAGTTAATTTAAGTGAGAGCTTACAATATTGGTGACAATTAACAGCGTGGGGGTGTTAAAGTCTAGCTTAATGCAAATGATAAGTAATACTACGTTGCGAATACCAATAGGAGTAAAGCACACGTGATCTGCCTTGCATTAGATAGGCAAGAAGAAGGAAAAGTTAATGGTATCTGGGAGCAATTTTCTTGTTCTGTATAATTCGATTCTGTGTGATGCATGAACAAAAAGATTTTCATGATCATGCAGAAATTTTCCACACATCAAACTCAAACTCAGACTTACTTTGAATGCACTTTACTGCAATTTCTGTGCACTTTCACCTCCAGAATCAGTGGCACCTCCACAGTTCTGAGAGACTAGAGTACAACTGTATTGCTGCACCTTGATTAATAAGGAAATCCCAATCATCAAGCACATCCTAAACTAGGTGGCGCAACAATAAGCTTGTATCCACTTTTTCCACTGTTATGTTATCGACAAAGTGAATATGCGAAAAAAAAAAAAAAACAACATTACGAAATTGGCCTTTTACCGATAAGAGTGTGTGGATGATGACGTCACGAATGACGAAAGCGATTTGTCGCGTGTGTTTTGGTGTATCACAAAAAAGTGCCCTTGAGCCGTTTCTACAATTTTTTTTTTTTATTTAACACAATTTATAGTAGACAGTGAAACTTTTTTGCCTACACAATTTTGCTAATGTGACCATACCTACAATATCTGCATTTTCCATTCCATTGCATTTTTATTTTTGTTTAGCTGTTGAACTCATGTTTTCTATATCCATCCAAACAAAGTCCACGCATAACAAAACTTGGTATAGACATCAGGAAATTAGGGAACATGTCAAATTTTGTCAAAATGTCATTCTGTTCGTAGAGGCTGCTAATATCCAATAAAAGTATCATACATTTCCAACTTTATGATCAGTGAAGTCAAATTTGTCATGGATTTTCTTGTTTCCACCAAAAGTGTGTGCCTGAAATCCATCTTTAAATTGCATCAATTTTGGAAATATTCTTATTTTTTTTTTTAAATCTGCTTTGTTACAGTTCCACTCTGTCCTTTCTCACCTCCTTTGTGTCTGCACAGGTCTACTTTCACGCAGTTGTTCCACATCCTCTTCTTCTTTGGACTCCAGACAAGCTTCCATACGACCACCAAGACCACCACCACGACAGAGACCACCTCTGCGCCCATGGCAGGAACGGACTCCTCCGAGCACCAGATCTACTCCTCCGCCCTCCCGTTCCCTCACCACCACCCCACACTCTGGTACATTACTTTTGACCATCAATAATTAGCCTTGAATGTTTATTTGTAAATAGCAAAATCCACTATCATTATGACAGTCAACCCTAATGAGGGATCAGGTTCCAAACACAGTCTTGCATCACCCTCATCTACAAAGCCTAATCCCAGCAAATAAATGAACATAAGTGAGTTATTTTATCAAAATAATAAAACTAAAAATACTTAGGCCATTTTTCCACACGCCTGGCGTATGTTTTCAATGGGAGCGCCATTTGGTGGACACACGGCCTATTCAAGCATTATCCCTTTGCCGAGTCTTTATACATTATTTGCATTGTGTAAAGATATCAAAAAACAAGCCATGGGAAGGTATTTTTTTATGTAAGTAACTGGAACATTTCTAACCCAATCGTTATTACGGTAACGATTGGGTAGTCTCTACCAGGTTTTGAATGTAAAATGTGTGATGTTTTTAGATGAATATTAAAGGGATAGTTTTGAAAATTAGCCCATGATTTACTCACCCCGAAGTCATCCTAGGTGTATATGACCTTCTTCCGGACGAATACGATCGGGAGTTATATTAAAAACATGTCCTGGCTCTTCCAAGCTTAATAATGGTAGTCAATGGGTATATTTTTTTGGAAGTCCATCAAAGTGCATCCATCCATGATAAAAGTGCTCCACAAAGCTTTGGCGGGTTAATAAAGGCCTTCTAAAGTGAAGTGAGAAAAATATCCATATTTAAAACCATATCGACTAAGATAACTACTGTAGCTTTCGACAAACAGCCGAATGCAAGTCGACTAAAGCCAATAGAGTAGCATACTTTTGGGTGAACTATCCCTTTATTAGTGCATTTAGAGATTATGAGATGTTTTGAAATGTGATTTTTTTTTTTTTTTCATCAGGAATTTCTCACAGCAGGACCCCTTCCGTCAGCAGCACAGCATATGAGAGCTCAGATGTGCATTTAGGGGAGCGCGTATTGGTGGTGGGACAAAGGACAGGGGTTGTGCGGTTTTACGGGAAGACCAGTTTTGCTCCAGGTATGACACTATCGCCTTTCTATCGCTTTTCTTTCACTACAACCTCCTGCAGTGTGCGATAGCTCAGGAAAGTGTGCTATGGGTCGGGGTTAATTGCACATTTAGAGATATTCAATGGCTACTCCTTTGTCAAAGTACTTGGATCCTTCTCCTTTATGTAACCTCTGGATGAATTAAAGCCATATTTCAGTAGCAGCATAAATGTTTCAAGATGTCTAATATCACACAATGGATAAAGAAACTTTTTATAAATGAGTAAAAAAAAAGGCCAGCCACTCAAATTCACTTAATGTGCACTTTACGTAGGTTTCTGGTGGGACTTTATGTCTGCTACTCTTCCAGGTCTTTAAGTTGAATGCAGCAGTTTTTAAATGTGCGCCGTATAAAGGTTATCCGCTTAATGGAACTGGTGCTCAGGTGAGCTCAGCAGTTCTTCAGCACTGGGAAGTTAGTCACTGTATTTACTGCAATACATTGGATATTTTGCAGAATTTCAAGGACACTCGTTGTATTCCAAGAACCTTCAGCTACATCCTTTTAGGGCTCAGATTATAGAAATGAAAAGGCATGCCAAATAAAAGAAATGATAAGATTGTAGCAGTTGTATTGTAAGTAGCATGTTAAAATTATGAAGAAAAAAAACATGTACTTGTACTCAAACATGTGATTGAATATTTATGCCCGATTGCTGCTGGTTCAGGGTTTGGAAAACAAGAGTAGCTAAACTATTCCCATAAAAAGCCTTAAAAGGCGTACTCTAGTCTGCTAATTAATTGCCCCTAAGTGCTGTTGAACTCCGCTCTGACTCTGAGTTTTGTGTGGAGAGCACTTTCAGGAAAAAAAAAAAAGCTAAAAGCAGATTTGGAGAGAAGGCAGTGATAGCTTACTACAACACATATTATATTGGCCAATGCCATTATATGCACAGAAGGGACAACATGTAATAAAGTACATTATGCAGTCATGGTCAGAATTATTAGCACCCTTGGTAAGCCTGTGACAATAAATCTGCATTTTTAATACTTGTGATCCTTTCATTTTAAAAAATCACCAAAATCGAACCGTTCGTTGAAGCAAATTAATTGAAAAATGGAGGAAAATCTCTTTATGAAATATGTTTTTTTCTCCAAAACACATTGGCCACAATTAATGGTACTAATTTATTCAATATAGTTTGTAATCTCCTTTTTGTAAGTAAACAGCTCTGATATGCCATGCCATACCGTATGCCTTTGAGGCAGTCCATCGCATTACGTTTTCATCAACCCACAGGATATTACGTGTATTATAGCTGTGTGGGCATTAAGCAATTTACCAAAATCCCATGTTACTAAAAATTAAGTGATATTAAGACCGTATTTCTAGAAAGACACTCATCGAGTACATAAAGACTTGGAAGTGCCCGGTATTGAACTGAAAACTAATATCTTATTACCAAATTATATGAACACAAATCAATTCTATTTCAGGCAGAATGAGAGCTATTACTTCCAACCCCTGCTAAGGTTGACCATTATTACACTTCTATAATGAAACACATGCAGCATGAAGCTTGACAACTTTTTCAACTGAACGATAGTTGCTTATGAAGGCTTTGGACCGCTGGAAAGGAACCGAACTTAAGTGGCAGTGCCCTCACTTTCTATTTTCTCTATAAGAACGTGGATCGTGCCATTTTATTGATAGGGTACCTTAAGGTGAAATCCATCTTCCTCTCAATGTGACCTTTTCATCTGCTATTCACACATTTATAGAATACAACTCACCCTGTGGTTTGTTCTTTGTTTACTAAAAAAAGCAACTGTTTGTCCCTGCATTACAAAGCATCACAAAGCTTTTGAAAGGAATAACTGGATTTACTCAAATCGCAGGATTTGGTATTCGTTTGTTTGGGCTCGAGCTGTACTGAGAGATGACAGATTGGAGATTGTTTACCAAGCTCAGGTCGGCAAGAGAATCGCTACATTTCTCAAAACGTGTGTGTGTGTGTGTGTGTGTGTCCCTGGCAGGATTTTGGTTGGGGATTGAGTTGGACAAGCCGAGCGGGAAGAATGACGGATCAGTTGGAGGAGTGCGATACTTCAGCTGTCCTCCTAAACACGGAGTCTTCGCCCCACCCTCACGAGTTCAGAGGCAAGTGGAGAATTTGCAGAGTCTTATTTCTGGCATCTTGCTGACTTTTAGCGTGATTATTTCTAGTCGACTGTGTCTTTGATTGTTGAACTGAGATTTCGACCTTTCTGTACAGAAGCATTAATAAGATTGTGCATCGACATTTGTAAGTCATTTCTGCATGAGAGATGTAACGGTCCCCACAGAAAATAACCGTCCTGCCCTTGTCCTCAAAAGATATTTACTTTGGCATCACAGATACAACTGTTGGGATACTTTTTGGCAATTAGACTTCTGGCAGACAATAACATTTGTGAAAAATTCAATAGTATTTAAAAGAGGAGTCATAAGCCTTAGCAATTGCATAGAAATGCCCTGGGAGCCACACACCCTATACTGTAGCAGGGGGCTGGTACTTCATAAAGTGTAGTTTATAGTTGACTTTTACTTTAATTTGACAGGAAAGGAATTACTTCCTTTCTACTGTCTTTTAATTAAATATCCAGCCTTTTTTTCTTTGTATCCCATTTACTTTTCTCCAGTCAGTCTTCCATTATGACTTTAATCCTTCCCATTGACAGCGGTCTGCCCTCCATTTGTCCCTCTGTACCTTTTACTGCCTTTATTCTCCTGCCGGTTATTCAACAAATGATCAGTGTTCGGATCTTCTCCATCTGTCATGAATCATATATTCTTAATTCAGAACCATTCACCTATGCCATATTCCGCTCTTTCTTTCCCATTGTATTTTTGTAAAGGGTCTGAGCGACTGATAAGCTCATTGTTCTAAACGCTTTCTTTCGTTGTGTCTTCTTAATTAACCCTCGGGACAGCCTCAGACACGCCGGCAGAGAGATCCCACCCGCTTCCATTCATTTTGTCAGAGGCTCTTCAAATTGAAATAGCCACTATTTATTTCTTAATGCATTTTCCTTGTTTTAAAAGGATTCGACAACCAAAAATTAAAACTCTCTCTTTCATTTACTCTTACATTTACTTTTTTTCTGTGGAATACAAAGAAAGATTTTTTTTAGAAAAACAATTCATCTCTGTAAGTCCATTTAATGCAAGTGGATGGAACCCTCAAAGTTGACTCTTCAAAAACCACACAAAATGAACATGACATGACCCGATCAATGTCTTCTGAAGCGAAACTATAAGTGTGTGCGTGAGAAACATACTAATAAAATGAACATTCTTAGAGCTTCCGAACAAATCTTTGGGTTGCGGACTGGCGGGAAAGTGAACCCGAGGTTAACTAGTGAGTCAGTCGGATTTTAGGGAAAAATACGGTCTATTGGAGATGTCCAGTAGACGTCTTAGGCGCGTTGAAAGAACACCACAGACAGTGAAATCACCATGGGAAAATCTTATAATAAAACTGGGAATTGTAACAAATGTGATACCAGATGAGCAGTTTATCTATATATCATGTCTTAATTTCTTTTATAACTGTTTTAATATTCCCAAAACTTATCTTGCCTTGCCTAATAATTGAAACTTATTATAACCTTTGAAACAAAACGTATAAACAAGCGCTGTTGTTAAACGCGTTATTAACTGCGTTAACGCAAACCAATTTTAACTTGATTTAGTTTTTTTTTTTTACATGCTTTTCCAACAGGATGCGCAGCACTGCGCTATGAAACCCATTAATATCAATGGCTAAACCACACACCGTGGTCAAATTTCAAAATACTGTGACGATTACCAGTGCACCCAATAGAAACTTTTTGTGTAATCACCTTCTATAAAATAGCCTTCTAATGTTGTATGGGTTTTAATGATGGTTAGCAAAGATTACAGGAATAATAGCAAATATATTTAAAAAGAACTAAAACTCTTCAGGTATGCTGAGATGATTTGATGTTTTAATAAACACCTTTTATAGTAATTTAGTCTATACTAATATCTATACTACAAGCGAACGTCATAAGTTGACCTCAGACAACAATATAATACAATTTAAAAAGCCAGTTCATGACCCCTTTAATGTAAAAACCAAGCGAACGTCATAAGTTGACCTCAGACAACAATATACTGTATATATAAAAAAATAAAAATAAAAAGCCAGTTCATGACCCCTTCAAATTTCGAATATGACCGAACTTGACCCTCAGCCCCACATCCTCTTGATAACGCCTCCTCTAATGGGGTTTGTTGGGAGTCAAGTCAACGTGTTGTCGTCTTCAACGATTTACTGCAAGCTCAGATTTCCATCAAATTATGGAAGTAAATTGTGTTTCATGTTGTCTTCAAAGTGTTGTTACCTGTCCGTTGGAGAAACATTCCCCCCGTCCTAACATGTGATTTTGTTCCTGCTATATATTTACATGTCAAATTGTGTGTGACAACTTTGACAAGCATTTGTCAAAATAAACCCATGTGACTGTCACTATTTTGAAGTGATAAATTTGTTGTTTGACAGCTACCAGAGTATACGCATGGGTAAAATAATGTGTCTTGACAGTTTTCTGCCAGAGCATCAGTCGTGCAGTTGTGGAAGAAGTAATACTGAACATTCACTTTGTTTTAACTAGCAGGATTCATGGCTCAGTAGACTGTCTGTCAGAGCTGTCCTCGTCTCGGATGAACTATTCCTTCACAGGTGAGCCATTCCTGCTGTCTGATTCCCTCTCCGCTGTCAAATCTTGTATGACTGACGTATTACCTTTTTTTTTTTCATATAAAACTGTCGTTTTTCAGATATTTGGTCATTTTTCAGTGGATGTTTGTGTGTGTTTTATTAAAGGAATTCGACGCACTCTCAGCACTTCCTCAGCCATCGCTACTCAGAGAGAACCGAGTCGTAAAGGTCAAGCAAGCAGGTAGAAATAATGTTAATACGACTAACTTTTTTCAAGTAAAGATTTTTTCACTAGCAGTTGTGGCTCGGTGGTTTAGTCCATGTGTTACGGATACATTGACCCTTGGTGCTCGTGATGGAGAAATGTTGGTTTGAGTTATATTATATAATTGTTTGTCCTCATTTCCATTATTTATTTATTTTTTATTTATTTTTCACCAAAATCTAAAGATGCCCAAATCTCAAAGGTTCCTTTAGTTTCCAAAAAGGCACTTTTTGGTAGAATTGTATGTAATCATTAGTATTAATTAATTCTGAATCTGAGAAAGGTTTGTTGTACAGTATGTTACTTTAGTATTATTATTTATTATTATTATTATTATTATTATTATTACTGAAGCTGAAATTGGAAATAAATCTCATGTAATAGTCAATCAATTCATTGCATTTTTGTGTAAATCAACACTCAATTAAAAAAGGGTGTAAACATTTCAGTTGTACAACTTTTTAATGTAAGTTGTTTATTTATAAACATTTAAACAGTGGCTATCATCACTTGTTTCATGACATATTTATTTAAACATAAATAATGAAGACAACAGGTTTAGTAAAAAAATGTAACGACTAATACAGTGAATATATTTAGCTAAATTAGTTGTTTTATTTCTATCTGACACTGATTTGGACATTAGAATGGTTTTCCTGAGGTAGATGTAACATTACGTGACCTATTGTTCACCAGCTCTTTTCTTGACTTCTTTCTGCGGTTGAAACACTGATAAACACTTTAAAATAAGTGTCAATTTCTAACATTACCGAAGTTTAATAAAAGTAGTAGTGAATTAGCTAATTTCAACATTTACTAATGCATATTTTTGTATTCGTAAATGTTGAATACATACAAGAAACATATCTCTTAACATTAGCATCATAAACTAACATGAATGATCAATGTATAATTAATATATTAATATTTTCAAGGTTCAGTATTGTTTTTAAATTTTTGTAATAAAAGTTCAGCACTTTTTCATGTGGTATGTTAGTTTTCATTCAGTTTCCATTTTAAAAACTATCAGTTAATTAGTTGTTATTGTCCTGGGTGGTCCTAGTTATCATTATCGCTAAAATCCACTATCGGTCGACCTCTTACTTAGGCCGTGTGTCCACCAAAGCGTTTTAGTCAGCTGAAAACGCCAGACACTCTGACCCCATTTACACCTGGAATTAAAATGCGATCTGTATCCAGATAAGTTATCCGGATAATAAAAAACGCATGTTGATGCAAGGTGTAAATGCGTTGTGATCGGATCGTGATCGGATCTGCCTGACCACATCTGGAGGTAGTCGGCTCGCATTGTGTCCGGATCTTTACTAGGTGTAAACGCAATCTGGTTGTTGAAACCACATATTATGTATATTTCACTCCTCCCAAAAATGCAAAAAAATAAACGAGTGAGAGCTTGTTATGTAGGCAATATGTCATGTTATAGTCAGATATTACGGCGCTACTGCGACACGCATCACGCATCACCGCAGATGAGCAGCTGAGCGTCTATTCATCGAGCCAACGTGCAAACATCGCAAATAAAAGTGAAAGTAAGTCACAGACGCTTAACACACGATCATTTTCAAGTAAAGAAACGAAATTATCTTACCAACGCTGTTGCCACTCTCTTATTGATGTCTTTGATTTGGAAATTAGCTGATGATCACCAAAATGCTGCTCATATCTGTTGCTTTTGATGGTGTGCAATCCATTAAATCTGCATATAATGCGGGAGTTGAAGATCGGATTTATATCCGTTTTGCAAAAACACATTTTTGTGGCCAGGTGTAAATGGAATCGGTACTTATTTTCCGGATAACTTATCTGGATACAGATCGCATTTTAATACCAGGTGTAAATGGGGTCTCTGCTGAAGACGCCGTGTTTGGGTGCTTAAAGGGATAGTTCGGCCAAAAATGATATTTAACACATGCATTACTCACCCTCAAGCCGTTCGAGATGCATATGTCAATCGTGTTTCAGACGAACACATTTTCAGTTATTTTAGAAAATGTATTAGACCCTTCAGTGGATATAATGTGAAGAAATGGGGTCCAGCTCCTTCAAGTCCCAAAAATGTGCATACAACATTCACAAAAGTAATCCATCCGGCTCCAGTGGGATAAACGAAGGCCTTCTGAGGTCTAATCCGTGCGGTATTGTCGTAAAAATATACATATTTAAAACTTTATAAATGAAAATATCTGACTTCCGGCAACGATCGACATACGTTCGGTAAGTTGGCGTACGTTTGGATTGGAGTTAGATTGTTAGATTGGAGAAACTTATTTCGGGTTGAAACTTTGAGATTTGATATCTCATCTCTGGAAGGGTCTAGAGCCTCCATTTTTGCACTAAAGTCTAAGTCTCACAGCCCTCTATCAGAATCCAGAGTTTTGAAGATTGGAGAAACGTAATTTTTCGCCCGAAAAACAAAAAAAACAAAAGGGGTACCACTGTCGTTTTTTTTTTCGGGTCGAATTTTTGAGTTTCCATATCTCAGCTCTGGAAGGGTCTAGAGCCTCCATTTTTGCACTCAGGTTTAAGTCTCACAGCCCTCTATCAGAATCCAGAGTTTTGAGAAGATTGGAGAAACTTAATTTTTCGCCTGAAAAAAAACCCGAAAGGGGTAACACTGTCGTTTTTTTTTTCGGGTCGAAATTTTGAGTTTCGATATCTCAGCTCTGGAAGGGTCTAGAGCCTCCATTTTTGCACTCAAGTCCAAGTCCCACAGCCCTCTATCATAATCCAGAGTTTTGAGAAGATTGGAGAAACTTAATTTTTCGCCTGAAAAAAAAAACGAAAGGGGTAACACTGTCGTTTTTTTTTTCGGGTCGAAATTTTGAGTTTCGATATCTCAGCTCTGGAAGGGTCTAGAGCCTCCATTTTTGCACTCAAGTCCAAGTCCCACAGCCCTCTATCATAATCCAGAGTTTTGAAGATTGGAGAAACGTAATTTTTCGCCCGAAAAACAAAAAAAACAAAAGGGGTACCACTGTCGTTTTTTTTTTCGGGTCGAATTTTTGAGTTTCCATATCTCAGCTCTGGAAGGGTCTAGAGCCTCCATTTTTGCACTCAGGTTTAAGTCTCACAGCCCTCTATCAGAATCCAGAGTTTTGAGAAGATTGGAGAAACTTAATTTTTCGCCTGAAAAAAAACCCGAAAGGGGTAACACTGTCGTTTTTTTTTTGGGGTAGAAATTTTGAATCTCGATATCTCAGCTCTGGAAGGGTCTAGAGCCTCCATTTTTGCACTCAGGTCAAAGTCTCACAGCCCTCTATCATAATCCAGAGTTTTGAGAAGATTGGAGAAACTTAATTTTTCGCCCGAAAATGAAAAAAGACGAAAGGGGTAACACTGTCGTTTTTTTTTTTTCGGGTCGAAATTTTGAATTTCGATATCTCAGCTCTGGAAGGGTCTAGAGCCTCCATTTTTGCACTCAAGTCAAAGTCTCACAGCCCTCTATCATAATCCAGAGTTTTGAGAAGATTGGAGAAACTTAATTTTTCGCCCAAAAACGAAAAAAACAAAAGGGGTAACACTGTCGTTTTTTTTTTTCGGGTCGAAATTTTGAATCTCGATATCTCAGCTCTGGAAGGGCCTAGAGCCTCCATTTTTGCACCTAAGTCAAAGTCTCACAGCCCTCTATCATAATCCAGAGTTTTGAGAAGATTGGAGAAACTTAATTTTTCGCCCAAAAATGAAAAAAAACGAAAGGGGTAACACTGTCGTTTTTTTTTTCGGGTCGAAATTTTGAATCTCGATATCTCAGCTCTGGAAGGGCCTAGAGCCTCCATTTTTGCACCTAAGTCAAAGTCTCACAGCCCTCTATCATAATCCAGAGTTTTGAGAAGATTGGAGAAACTTAATTTTTCGCCCGAAAATGAAAAAAAACAAAAGGGGTAACACTGTCGTTTTTTTTTTCGGGTCGAAATTTTGAATCTCGATATCTCAGCTCTGGAAGGGTCTAGAGCCTCCATTTTTGCACTCAAGTCAAAGTCTCACAGCCCTCTATCATAATCCAGAGTTTTGAGAAGATTGGAGAAACTTAATTTTTCGCCCGAAAATGAAAAAAAACGAAAGGGGTAACACTGTCGTTTTTTTTTCGGGTCGAAATTTTGAATCTCGATATCTCAGCTCTGGAAGGGCCTAGAGCCTCCATTTTTGCACCTAAGTCAAAGTCTCACAGCCCTCTATCATAATCCAGAGTTTTGAGAAGATTGGAGAAACTTAATTTTTCGCCCAAAAATGAAAAAAAACGAAAGGGGTAACACTGTCGTTTTTTTTTTCGGGTCGAAATTTTGAATTTCGATATCTCAGCTCTGGAAGGGTCTAGAGCCTCCATTTTTGCACCTAAGTCAAAGTCTCACAGCCCTCTATCATAATCCAGAGTTTTGAGAAGATTGGAGAAACTTAATTTTTCGCCCGAAAATGAAAAAAAACAAAAGGGGTAACACTGTCGTTTTTTTTTCGGGTCGAAATTTTGAATTTCGATATCTCAGCTCTGGAAGGGTCTAGAGCCTCCATTTTTGCACCTAAGTCAAAGTCTCACAGCCCTCTATCATAATCCAGAGTTTTGAGAAGATTGGAGAAACTTAATTTTTCGCCCAAAAATGAAAAAAAACGAAAGGGGTAACACTGTCGTTTTTTTTTCGGGTCGAAATTTTGAATCTCGATATCTCAGCTCTGGAAGGGTCTAGAGCCTCCATTTTTGCACTCAGGTCAAAGTCTCACAGCCCTCTATCATAATCCAGAGTTTTGAGAAGATTGGAGAAACTTAATTTTTCGCCCAAAAATGAAAAAAAACGAAAGGGGTAACACTGTCGTTTTTTTTTCGGGTCGAAATTTTGAATTTCGATATCTCAGCTCTGGAAGGGTCTAGAGCCTCCATTTTTGCACTCAGTCAAAGTCTCACAGCCCTCTATCATAATCCAGAGTTTTGAGAAGATTGGAGAAACTTAATTTTTCGCCCAAAAATGAAAAAAAACGAAAGGGGTAACACTGTCGTTTTTTTTTCGGGTCGAAATTTTGAATCTCGATATCTCAGCTCTGGAAGGGTCTAGAGCCTCCATTTTTGCACTCAGGTCAAAGTCTCACAGCCCTCTATCATAATCCAGAGTTTTGAGAAGATTGGAGAAACTTAATTTTTCGCCCAAAAATGAAAAAAAACGAAAGGGGTAACACTGTCGTTTTTTTTTCGGGTCGAAATTTTGAATCTCGATATCTCAGCTCTGGAAGGGTCTAGAGCCTCCATTTTTGCACTCAGGTCAAAGTCTCACAGCCCTCTATCATAATCCAGAGTTTTGAGAAGATTGGAGAAACTTAATTTTTCGCCCGAAAATGAAAAAAAAAAAGGGGTAACACTGTCGTTTTTTTTTCGGGTCGAAATTTTGAATTTCGATATCTCAGCTCTGGAAGGGTCTAGAGCCTCCATTTTTGCACTCAGGTCAAAGTCTCACAGCCCTCTATCATAATCCAGAGTTTTGAGAAGATTGGAGAAACTTAATTTTTCGCCCAAAAATGAAAAAAAACGAAAGGGGTAACACTGTCGTTTTTTTTTTCGGGTCGAAATTTTGAATTTCGATATCTCAGCTCTGGAAGGGTCTAGAGCCTCCATTTTTGCACTCAGGTCAAAGTCTCACAGCCCTCTATCATAATCCAGAGTTTTGAGAAGATTGGAGAAACTTAATTTTTCGCCCAAAAATGAAAAAAACGAAAGGGGTAACACTGTCGTTTTTTTTTTCGGGTCGAAATTTTGAATTTCGATATCTCAGCTCTGGAAGGGTCTAGAGCCTCCATTTTTGCACTCAGGTCAAAGTCTCACAGCCCTCTATCATAATCCAGAGTTTTGAGAAGATTGGAGAAACTTAATTTTTCGCCCAAAAATGAAAAAAAACGAAAGGGGTAACACTGTCGTTTTTTTTTCGGGTCGAAATTTTGAATTTCGATATCTCAGCTCTGGAAGGGTCTAGAGCCTCCA